CTGATTTTATCCAGAATACAACCTAGAATTCTCTACTTGCTGATATTTGATTGAAGTTTACCAGGATCTTATTTTTATGTTTTTTGTTCATAAATTTCTTTTAAGTTTGTTAATGTTATTAAAAAAAAAAAATTATCAAAAGTAATCACTGAAGTTTGTTATATAGTTTTTGATTTGGTACCTCAAAACGTAATGTGCAGCACCTCAAACTGCTAGGTATTTTAAAAAGCTATTTAAAGAAAATTGGATTTGTTCTGTGCCCGCATCTTTTTAGCACTGTTTTTGGAGTCTTAAGGCAACATTTCTTATAAGGTTCTAAAAACTTATTTTTAGAAGGACTTGAAATGTTCAAAATTATTGTTAAAAAAAGTGTTAACAGCTTGTAGATTTTTTTCAACGTCTTTAGAGTATTTTTTAAGTATTAAATGTAATATTTTTTAATTTATGACTTAACATTCTTTATTCAGATTATTCAACGCTTTCAGAGTTTATTTTAAAAAATCGAGTTCTATGTTAGTTTATTTCTAACCTGACATTCTGAGGTCCCACTGCATTCTGAGGTCCTTTTAACTGCATATGGCAATAAACCATCCCGAGCTTTTACAACTTTACATGAAAAGAAATAAAATCTAGCATTACTTTTATGTCTTTGTTAACTTTTGGTTATGACCATGAAAATTGTAATGTTTCAAGTGAGCTTTACATATTGAGGTGTTTATTCAATTATTCTTCTCATAATCTTTTTGTATTATATACTGAAAAATTAAATCTTGTAAACAACGCTCTACTATTGCTGTTAATTTCATTAACAGAAATCTTCTTTCATATGGCATTTTTTTAGAAGCTGGTACTAGTTTTGAAGCTCTTCTTTGTACTTTTTCTAACTTTAAAATATATTGTTTCAGATAAGGACATCATGCTTGAATAGCAAACTCAAGATGTGGTCTTACAAAAGTAGTATATAATTTTTTTACCATATTTGAATCAAAATATTTAAAAAATTTGTTTAATAAGAGAAAGCATTTGATTTGATTTTTCTACAGCTTTATCAATATAACATGCCCATTTTAAATAAGATTGTATCATTACTTCTAAATCCTTATCTACTTTTGATGTTGCTAAGATATTATTCTGTTGGGTTTCAGTGTCAAACATTGAATAAGTTATACATGGATTTTTAAAGCCAATGCGCATAATTTTATATTTTTCATAACTAAATTTCAATAACCATAATGACGAGCATTTCATAATATTATCGATATCTTGCTGTAATTTATTTATATGTATATCTTCATCTGATTTAATAATATTAATAATTTTACAATCATCTCCATTATCATTAATCATCTCCATTATCCAATCATCTCTGGTAGATCGTTAATAAAAATCAAAAATAGAGGCCTAAGGACAGAACCCCGTGGAATCCACTCTCAACTTTTAACCATTTTGATAAACATTCTCCTAAAATTAATTGTTGCTTTCTGTTACATAAATAGTCTACCATCCAATTAAGTATTATTCCAACAATACCTTATGATTTTAACTTTATCATCAATTGTATATAAGATATTTTATTAAATGATTTTGAGAAATCCGTATACAACATATCAACACACCAGCCATTCTCAATAGCATCAAATAAAATTTTTTGTGTTTTAAGTAGATTTCTGCTTTTGTTGTTGTTACTATTTAATGTAAATACAAATCAATTTAATAAGTTACATGTTGGTTACTATTTAATAAATTGTTTATTAACATGTATTCCGTAATTTTGTCACTTAAGATTGGTTCAAGAATTTTGCATGGTATTGACGTTTATGAAATTGGTCTATAATTTGCTGAATCATTTTTATCTATTGTACAGTGGTGTTACATTTTCCATTTTCTATTTAAATGGATCTTTTTCTTCTTTTAAAGATCTTTTGAATAGTAACTCTAGAGGCAAAAACTTTTTTGACTTTTTTTAAACATGTATGAACTTATGCCATCTGCACCAAACGCTTTATTGACATTTAGTTCACTAAGTTTACTCCTAATAATGTCTTGAGTTATTACTTAGTCAACATCTAATTCTAAAGTCTTACTTGGTTTTACTGTAATATTTGTTAGATCTTTTTAGATTTTTTATTTTAGATTTTTTTGCATAAAGTATGACATTTTTAAACTAAAAAAAAAGTCAATTTTATTGATTTTTTTGATAATAATTGTTTTTTAAAAAAATCTCTTTTTTTGAAATTTTTATATAATTTTGCTTCATTCGAAACCCAGCATGACATACTTTTGGAAAACTTTTTTGTAATATTAGGGATCCGTTAAATGCTCAAGGGTCTTGGGGCACCCCATGAAATATTTTTTTATTCAAAAATTTTTGTAAACCTAGTGTTATTTTATTATATAGAACATTTTTAATGGATAAAAGCAGACTTTTATGAAAAAAAAAAAGATTTTCGGAACCACTATAGTATAACAAATAAACCTTTGCTTTATAAATATTAACTTTTTTATCAAACTAAAATTAGTCATCTAATTTAGTCATAACAATGTCAATGGCTAATATTAATCAAGTAAAATTAATGTTAATCAAGTAAAATTAATGTTAATCAAGTAAAATTAATGTTAATCAAGTAAAATTAATGTTAATCAAGTAAAATTAGCGTTAATTATTACTTTTAGTTTGACTAAAATAAGTCAACTAAAACTTCAGTTCAAGTTAGTTTATCAACTTTAAAAAAACTAGATGCTGTCTTTGCAATACATTGGTTTCTGTGAAAGGTCAGTAAAGATAATCTAAGAAGACTTCTACTTTACCTGTGAAAGTGCTGGCATTCTTAGATAGAAGAAGTAAAAGACTCAGTGAGAATGCTGGCATTCTGAGATAGAAAAAGTAAAAGACTTAGCGAGAGTGCTGGCACTCTGAGATTGAAGAAGTAAAAGACTTAGCAAGAGTGCTGGCACTCTGAGAAAAAGTAAAAGACTCAGTGAGTTAGTATTTATCAAGATAAGATTATAACCAACATTGCAATAATAATAAACAGTAAAAAAATGTTTTTTTGAGTTAAAATTCTCCAGCCTCTGCAAGCTTCAAGCATTCATCAAATAGATCACATTTAATACCTTTAACTTCTTTGCAATTTGCAAATTTAATAACTTTAACTTCTTGCAATGACTAAATAATGTTTGTTCTCTATGAGAGTTGTTTTAATAAAAAGATAAAAGAAATGATTAGGTTTGAAACAGCGCAAGAAGGAAAAAAAGTAGGATAGTGCTTGACTGAAAACTGATTGAAAATAAACAAAAGCTTTCATAGCTGTAGTCCAGGAGATTACATAAGAGGCCAATTATCAGCAAAGAGTGCTACTAAATAGTCCAGAGTGCAAAGAGTATTACTAAATAGTCCAGGAGATTACATAAGAGGCTAATTATCAGCAAAGAGTGCTACTAAAGGACTAGCAAAGTTCATTACCTTTACAAAACAGTTAAAAATACCTAACTACTTATATTTAGACATATTTAATCTGTTGTTGTTTTTTGTTTTTTATTTGCACTTAAAAATCACATTCTTCTACTTTATGTCTTATCAGAATATATTTTACTACTGACTACACAAGGAATATATTAAATCAATTGCAATACAATGTTTAATTGCAAAACTAGCACCTAATAAGATTGCCACTCATCATTGTGGTTGTCATTTCCATACTTCAATTCACTACATATATAAACCTCTTATTTATCCGTGTTTGGAATATTGTTTGTTTTAGAAAAGATACTTTAATTGATCCATTTCTTTAACCATAAAATATGAAAATTTACAAAAATATTTTATAAACTCACATAAATAAGGTTATGTGTCACTCATATAGTTAAAAACTAGTCAATGGAGTGACGGTAAAAATAAAAAACTATAAATAAAACATAGAAAGAATTTAAAATAAAATAAAGCACTCATAAATAAAGATAATATTAATAATTGCAATAATAATATAATAAAAATAATTATAAAAAAATAATGATAATATAAATAAAAAAAACATTATAAATAGTAATTATAACATGATAACTTTTTTTAAATTATAACTAATGATAAAAACCATGGTAAAAATAATTATATTAAAGTTTATAACTATGACAGAAATTTTTAAAATAAACATAACATTAACAAAAATCAGGGCTGTAACCATAAAGCTATTACTATAATGGAATCACTATCACTATCATTATAAATAATATTAATATTTCTAAAACAAAGGTCAATTAATGATAATAGTGATATTAGCGGTAGAGTTAAAAAAAAAACAGTATAAAATAAAAGTAACAATAGTTTTATAAATACAGTAATATAAAAAAAGCAATAATAATAAAAGAAAAACTTAATATTAAATATATACTCAAATAAAAATTTCTTAATTTGGTTTCGATTAAGAAAAATAATGTTGGTAATAAAAGGGTATTTAGTTAAAATTTTTTTTTTTATAAATGGTATTATTTGGTTCAAATAAATCTGCAATCTTTAATCTGCAAGCCCAGCTGCTTGTGCTTTAGTCACATCTCTTTATTCTTGTGTCAATTATCGTTCAGCAAAGTCAAACTTTAGTCCTTAATGTTTTCCTCATAAAATTTAGAGCATTTAAGACATCATTGATGTCTTAAAAAGCTTTTTAATTTCCTAGTAACTCCTAGTTTAAATAGAAGTTAAAATAAAAAATAAAATTTAATATTGAGAGAAAAATTTATTGATGATTTTTCTTTCATTAATATTTTTCCTTTTCTGATAAAAAATAAATTTAAATTTAGAAGCACATTTCAAAATTTATTCTTATTTTTTATTTATTTTATTTTTGTATAGTTTGTAGAACGAAATCTAAATCTGCAGTTAATATAACTGCATATTTAGCTATTTATATTATTTACAAACAAGATTTAGTAATGTAAATCTAGATAATACAATTATACAAGAAATGGAAAAAAGTATAACTACATAATTATAAATAAAAAGCTACCTCTCATTAATTCTGTAATCGTCGTAGCAATGTTTTCTGAAGAAGGAAATAAAAATGACCATCCTGATTCTAGGACTTCTCCTGCAGCAGCATTGTATTCTTCATTAGTCATTAAAGTCATTATCACATTTTTTAAGTCCACATTAAAATTTTTCATGCTACCAAACCCAATATTATCTGGTGAAACGTTATGAGCTCGAGCTGAATCAAACTGAAGTTTAATTAGTGAAAGAATATTGCAAATAAATTCTTTTTTATAAACAACATTCTCAATCAAGCTGGCTTCAATCAGCAAGATTGATAACTGCTTTAATGATCTAGTCTTTATTTCAATACCGAAAGGAATTTTCTTTTTGAGTTTCTTTGTAAGAGAAACTGACCAGCAAAAAATTTGATGTGGCCCTGCCATAATATGGTTTATATTCAAAGAGCTCACCCAGCCTAATAACACTGGCTCACGTATTAAACTTTCATCTTCTTCTTTACCACCCAAACCACCCCAACAATATACATTGTAGGATTGTGTTAATGCAATACAATGGTAAGCTCCAACACTGACTGTCAAAACACTTTCTTTACTTAACTTTTCAATAGACTGTAAACAAATTTTTTCTTTAAAAGTTTTCTTACTAAACCTGTCTTTTCCCCTAAAACAAAAACAAACAAAATGTGTAAAATCTCTTCAAACAGGCTAATAAGAAAACTGCTTACGGAAAAAAATTACCATCTCCAGACATGGCCATTAATGCTTAAAACAATGTAGAAATACTTTGCAATATAAACTTTACTGATCTCAATGCTTTCTTTGGTAAGTAAGTCAACAGTGTCATTTTGCCATGACCATATATACCCTAAAATAAAAGACAATGTTGTTAATTATGAATTAAAATCCAAGCATTAATGTATACAATATTTATAATTTTGTATAAGTAAACATACCTCCTTCAGTAACAATTATAACTTCAGATTGATATTGCGAAAAAGTAACATCAACAACACGACTGTTACCAAACTCAGAAAACGTCAGTGGAACAATTTGTTTATTATTCTGTTCTGTAAATAAAAACTATAATAAACTTAAACCTAATATCGCAATTTACTGAATTATCAAAAAAAAAACTATTATCCTAATATTTTTATTTAATATGGTAATTTCTGTAATTATAAAAGACTTTAATATTATAAAAAGCAAAACGACTAAATAACTACTATAGTTATATTATAACTAACAGATAAAAGTCAACAAATTATGTCTACAAAAATCACCTCCAGATAATTCATTTTTCCAAATAAATAATTCTGATGAAGTTGACAAAGCAGCAAAATGGCCATATCCAGCAAATACATTACTTATCCCATTTTTGCAATGAATAGGTACAGATGTGAGATGTTCAAATTTGCTAGATTTTACCGAAAAAAAAATTAACAACAATTATATCATATTATAGTAATTAATTATAAATAATTTTAATGTTTTTTAAAGCCAGTTAGGATTGCTATAAAACATTTAACTTGCATAGAAAAGTAACAAAAGATCCAGATTGTAATGCGCTCAATTGAATTCTCCATGTAGCAGGTTTGTTAAATTTAGTCAGCACAAAATTTATAACTCAAAGGTTTCATCATAAAACATAATAATATAATATAATAGTTATTTACATAATAAAACAAGAGACTTTAGTGGTAAATAAAGTGTATTTCAAAGCTTAGTAACCAATAACAATAGTGGCTGAGGGGTAAAGAGAGAGAGCATAGTTAATTTTATCAAAAATTGCATCTAAACGAGTGCACTCTTGAAAAGAAGGAGTATGATAAAGAACAAACAGAAACGTGATAGAATGAAGAGGTGCTAAGCGGAAACACATAAATGATTAAAGGATTCCTACCTGATATCATGACAAAAAGTTAAATTGATACGTATGTATACCTCCAAGCCTAAGCATGTGACTATTGGAGTCTTTGCGAATCAAAGGATAGTGTCACTGAGATCAGAAGAAAGAATAGCAGAATTTAAATTAGTCTCACTAAGAGCAAGCAAATTTGGTGAATTTTGCAAGAGGTAAGATTCAAGGTTGCTTTGGAGATGAATATTTCTAAAAGATATGTTAAAACAGTTATTTAATATTTAGGGTTACATTTGGCATGATTAAAGTTTAAAGAGAACTTGACTCATTGATACATAGAGCAGAGCCTCCTAAGAAATGAGTTAAGCAATTTTGTCAGTCCTATTAAATATCCTTAAATCGTAGCATAGGGTTCCTTATGTGGCCTCGACAATGCGCACTAAAAACATTAACATGGACACCATCTATGTGTAACATGGCACTGTTAATACTCTGATATTTTGCAACTGTTGATGGAATCAGCCTTTCTGAGAGCTACCACAGAAGCTCTCAGAATCATTGCCATTATCAAAGAGGCACAAGCAATAACCTATGAGAAGAGTCAGGATCCAGTATTCATCATCCTATACAGGAAACAATGTAATACAGGTTTGTACCAATGCCAGCCTAATAGACGAAAAAGGGGCTAGAGACTGGTCAACAAAATTATTCGATTTACCCCAAAAGTCTTTACCTAGGAGGCCTCCTAAAAGACAGTAATTTTTATCGAGATACCATCTCTAGCCTTTACTCAACCAAGAGCCCCAATCAGGGGATTTTGAAGTCAGAGTTTGTTTCTCCTAGCCTTTGCCTAAAAAAGAACACTCTACAAGACAGCAGGGCATGGGGCAGGTAGTACTGGGTTACATAATACCAGTAGCAGGGTGATCATGATGATCATGAACCTGACCTGGAGTAATTAAAAGGAACTACTTCCTGCAAACAGTACCTTAAAAAATTGGGCATGATATTTTGGAAATGCATTAAAAAAATATTACATCTAACAAAATAATAGAGATAAGGGTGAGCATAGGTTTTATAGTTGGAGTGTCTAGTTAGTAAATGAGCTCACCCTGCATCAAAACAGATTTAAACATTTAAAAAGAACATTTAAACATTTAGACAGAACACATATATACATAAAGTAACTTAAATAAATTTTTTAGAAAACATTACAATACTTGATTAATTAAATACCAGAATTGTTGAATAATTAAATATCAGAATGTTGCTGACAATTGTTTTTCTAATATATTTATAATAAAACAGAACAAATATATATATATATATATATATATATATATATATATATATATATATATATATATATATATATATATATATATATATATATATATATATATATATATATATATATATATTTATATATATATATATATGATTTACTATACCTCTTATGTCTCCAAGTGTATACAGCTTTATTTTTGTCTAATGCTATAAAATGACCATCATTTGAGCATTGTAAATAGACTATTTCAATATTCATGACTTCCTGGTACACCTCTAATACCTGTTAAAAAAAATTTTAATAAATCTAAAATACTTAAATTAAGATTAGGAGTAGCACAAAATATTTTAATTATTTCTAAATATGTTGATTATTCTTGTGATGCAAACTTCATAGTTTTTAAATAAAAAAAAAAAAGATTTTTTTTTTTAGTTACATTCAGTCTGGTTTTAAAAGCAAATACAGTGTAACTATGTGTCTTTTTTAATGTGCACAGCAAAGACAGTTTGTTGCACAGTGAAGTGTGCACAGCTAAGTCAGTTTGTTGAGCTTGGTAGTGTTGAAATTTACAATTTAGTATTATGTTATTACTTTAAAAGTATTTTACTTGGTGTATAATTTATTTTGTTTATTTTTATTTATTTGTTATTTTTAATTTCATTTGTTTACATTTACTATTGTTTACATTTACTATATTTACTATTATTTATTTACAAGTTGCTGAGTTAATTCAAAAAATAGCAACTGGTAAAAACTAGTAAGATTGGTAAAATAATTTTTCTGTACAGTACAGTTTTATTTTTATTCCAGTTTTGTCTTTTTTAGAAGTTTTTAATAAACAATAATTTTAGTCACTTATGAAGTTTTTTTTTAACTTTTAGAGAAATTGAAATCATTGTACTTTTTAATTGAAAGAAATCGATGCACATTTTAGATTAATTTTTTCAAACTAAAAACTTGTTGAGATCTTTACAGACAAGAAGGAAATTTTTTCAAAAGCGGTTACAACCTATCAAGTTTTCAACTCAAAAACACAAATCTTGACAAACAAAGCTGTTTCAATTAGAAACAAGTTAAATGCTGTACTACTAGGGATGTGATGAGCATCAAACTCAGAACTTTTCACTTAAGTGCGCTACCACTCCCGCTACCACTACAGTATTCACATTTTTGCTTTTTATTGCTTAAAAATTGAAAAGTCATAAGTTTTAATTCAAAAATGCCCAAATAGAACTCAAAAAACAAACCACGTGCAAGAATTCAACAAACTGGATAGCAAAAAAAAGAGCGAAATAATGAACTTGCGAAATTAAAGTTGCTTGATATACCATTTTCATCACATCAAATGCGATCAAAAAGATCTATTGCAAGGAAAGGTCTCTCATGAGTGGCACTAGTACAGATCTCAGGGTTTCTGAAACATTATTGATGATGTATTCTTGAGGATAAGGGATCACCATATACCCACCATTTATCTTTAATTGATTATAATGACACCATCATTTTTTACCTAAATCCCCATTGATTTTCTGCGCTTCACAATATTAGCTTCATGTTAACACTGCATTTAGATTACTTATTATATTAGTGCACAATTATATCAACAACCCTTGGAATTAGGAAAAATGAGGTTGGCAATAATTTGCCGACTTCAATCTTTTAGAGGTCAGCATTTAATACTTACTCTCTCCCCTCTCATTCTCAATTAACAGTTCTACAATCTGTTTATAGAATTACTTCTTGCACCTTGGTCACCTATATGTGATCATTGTGTCATTAGTTCAATTCGTAATTACTTTTGTTTTTATTTCTTAAAATTAAAATGATTATGATTAATGAAAATAAAAATATTTAGATTTTTTTTTTAATTTTTTAAACAAAGTATTAAAAATTGTTTTACAGTTTATAGTTATAGCTATGGTATGTAGATTTAATAACTTATTGTATGCCTCAGATTTTAACAAATTTTAGTACAGAATGCTCTCAGAAATAACACTGTTCTATTATAACACTGTTCTATTATAAAAGACTTATACTGCTTTAAATTACATCACATAATGAAACATACATAATAAATGAAACATACATAATAAATGAAACATACATAATAAATGAAACATACATAATAAATGAAACATACATAATAAATGAAACATACATAATAAATGAAACATACATAATAAATGAAACATAAAAAATAACTTACAAGAGCTTCAGTTTCATAGCTGCAAGAGTATATTTTCCCATCTAAAGTCAATATTACAAAAAACAATTCTGTGCAACAAATGGAAGCAATTTTTATATCAAGATTTCTCTCTTCTTTTAGTGTATTGAGAACTTTTAGATTTCCCCAAACCAATAAATCACAATTATTCTTTTTTCTCTCAGCCTGTGAAACAATAGAAATAAAGTATAATATTGAACTTTTATTGCAAAATATAAAAAATTAACTTATTTTCTTTATTTGTTAAAATTAACTTATTTTCTTTATTTGTTAATGATACTGCTTTTTTTTTATTTAGGTTTTTTATTTTTATATTTTTTATTAAAGGGATCTTAAAATGCAGAGACAAGTTGTTTTCATATTAAAAAGAATGATAAAAAAATGTTTGTGCTGAATTTTTTTGAGCAAAACAAAATAATAATCATACACCAAGCAAAACTAAGTTGTTTTGCTCGAAGCTTGCCAAATTTTTTTCATCATTATTATAAATTACTAGAAAATATGTTTAGTTAATATTCTATAAAAGTTTTTTTTAATCATAAATTGCTATAGATTTTCTTTAGTTAAATTTTTATTTTCTAAATGTTGTAAAGTTTGCATTAAAAATATGAATAAAATATTTCAGATATTTTAAGCTTGTCTATTGCTATAAATTATTTTTGTGTTATATTTATTGTTATTAAATGATTATTATCATTATTAAGATTCTGTTAAAAAAAATTCTTTTGTATTATTTAACATTTTAAAAGTTTAATAGACCTTTTCACAGTTCCGATATAAAACTTTTGCGTAAAAATTAAAAATTATTTTAATGGTTTAAATCATAGAGCTTTAGAATGGAAAACAAATTAAATACTTAACCTGAACTGAATTTTTTTTGAGTAAAACAAAATACTGGACCTATATAGAAGTATTATATACTCAGAATTAGGAATAATGCCTGGAAAAAATATTTCTGATTTACTGAAACCCTATTTTAATAAGACAGCAACAGCCAATAAAATAAAGTTTCAAGCGATTAAAAACATGCACTATCATTGATTGTAAAAATAAAAAATACAATCTAGAAATGAGGAAAGATGACTTATGTATGATACACAATGTTAAATGAATCTCATACTTGTGAAACTACAAACTACCATATGATTAAGCATTTGTTATTCATTAGCAACACACACACAGATATATAACAATATATAAACAACCACAGCTCAGAGAAAAATGGAGAAAACTAATTAACCATTCATCTTCTACATTACCGCCTCATAGCAAATTATTTACCATAAAAAATAATATGAGAGTATGTTCAGACAATTTCCTTGACAGAGCACTATCATTTAAAAATCAATATCCTTAGTTAAACTTAGGCTACAATGCTCAAAGACTTATATTATTAAATGTAAATAATCCAACTTTTTTAAACAATAATCCATCAGATTATGTTGAATTTAATGTTAAGCATCGTTTTATAATAGAGCATCAAGAATTAAAAAAAGAAATTGATAACTTAAATAAAAAACTTCAGCATGAAATTTAAAAAAGTTAAGATCTATATGAAAAACTAATTTCAACCACATCATTTATTACTATGAAACCAGAAATTTTAATACTATGAAACCACAAATTTGATTATATACACAATCCAAGCAAATCATTTTATTGCAATTTACTATTATACAAACATTTATTGAAAAAATGATAGATCTTGCAACTTTTATACTGGCCTTACATCTGTCAGTGTGTTTCATGAGTTACATAGTGCAATATCACCATTAATTAAAAGATAAAGCTATGTTAAAACAACATCTACTGCTATTTTTTGAAATTTAAAAAAACTCTACACTATCAGGACTAAAATAAAAGTTATGCAGTAAAGATGAATTTTTAATGAAGCTAATGAAGCTAAGGCTTGGATTACTGACAATAGATCTTGCTGACAGGTTTTATATATCTTTAAGATTAGCCAGTGCAATAATTTCTGCATGGGTGAAGGATTAGCTATATAGGATTAGCCAGTGCAATATTTTCTACATGGGTTCTAGCTTACTTTTAAAGCACATGGTTTTTGTTTCAAGTAAACATGTTATAAGACAGACAATGCCAAACAGATTTAAGAAATTAAATTATTCAGACTTGCACTAAATTTCAGACAGATTTTTTTAATAAAACACTCGAAAATTTAAACTTACAGAAACTAACATGGAGTGAATACAAACATCACAACACTATAAATGCAGTATCTGTAGCTCCAAATTCATTAACAATATCTTTAAATAATTTCTAAAGCTTACAGAGGCTAAATTTCAGATAAAGAAACTACAAATCGCAATAATTATAATGTATGATAAAAATTTTAATATTAATACTGATGTTCTGAACTTTTAATCTACTACACAGTTCCCCCCAAAAATAAAAGAAATTTCTTATTTAAGGATATTGGTTGTACAAGTTATTAAAAGACCAAAGACATTTCGAATTTCTTTTCGAATTTTGCAACAGAATTTCTGCTTACAATGTATATATATATATATATATATATATATATATATATATATATATATATATATATATATATATATATATATATATATATATATATATATATATATATATATATATATATATATATATATATATATATATATATATATATATATATATATATATATATATATACATATATACACACACACATATATATGTGTGCGTATGTGTATATATATATTTATATGTGTGTATATATATACATGGTTAAAATTCAATAAATACGGCTGCATATAAACTTTTTTTAAACATATATATTTTTTCTTTAGTATATAATTATTTCGATATTTCGCTGATCTATTGTGATCAGCGTCATCAGGTATAATAAATAAAATAGTTATAAAAAAATTGTTATAGTAAAAACAAACCGTTAAAAAGATAACACTAAAAAGCCAAAATATAATACAAAATTTTTTTTCAAATAACTGACGTCAGCAGATTTTAATAAAAAATGGCCCCCAGGTTTTAGTTGTCACATTATTGCTGTCATCCCAATTGAGAACCACATCACTATTTCTTAACTCCTGTAGAACCCTAGCTTTGCTTATTTTGAGTGACTCTCTGATTTTCCGAGTTCAATATTCTGGGGCTACAGATAATGTTTTAGGGTACAACCAATCAAACTTACCATGGCATCTTTTAGAATGTTTAGTTGCACCTGAACTGGACCATTTTTCTTTTAAGCTGTTTTTCTGGTGTTCAATACATCTTGATATCAATTTCTTTTTAGTTTCGCCAATGTATATCGAACTGCATGAACATTTTAGCAGGTATAAGCCAGGGTCTGTGTTTAGTGGTAGTTTAGTCTTATTATTGTAAAAAATATTTTTATACACAGCCGTATTTATTGAATTCAAACCATATTTTAACATATAACAAGAAAATGACTTTTAAAGAATATATATATATATATATATATATATATATATATATATATATATATATATATATATATATATATATATATATATATATATATATACATATATATATATATATATACATATATATATATACATATATATATATATATACACATATATATATATATATATATATAATTATATATACACACACATATATATATATATACATATATATATATACACATATATATATATATATATATATATATATATATATATATATATATATATATATATATATATATATATATATATATATATATATATATATATATATACACACACATATATATATATATATATAAATTTAGCTTTAAATTCTACATTAAGTACATATAGAGTACAAAAAAAGATTAATAATTTTTTACAAAATCCAAAAATCAATGTTTTGAGGTACTTCTTTTTCACTTATTTCTTAATATGTTATTTAAACTGGATTAGACAGGCTCTTTATTTTAATACTTATATAAGACTAACAAAATGTTTAATAATTTAATAATAACTGGTTTGATAAATTTTAGATTTGCTTTTAAAACTTGAACAAATCATTGTTAAAATAACTTTTGTTTACATTTTTACCTTTATTTCTGCGCACGCATAAATTTTATATCGAAACTGTGAAAAAGTCTGTTAACAGCATTTATTAGCTAAAATTATTAATTGGGTAGAAATATTCTCAAAATTCTTATTTAATCATGCGAGAATATATTAAAAGAAATTTATTCTGTAAAACATGTACTTTTTTATTTTAATTTTAAGATTAAACAATTATTGATAAAGATTGAGTCAATTTTTAAATTGAAATTGTTTAACAAAAAACTTTTTATTTTCAATTTTGGCAGTTTTTTGATTTGTAATGTTAAGAGACAGGTTTTAATGTAAAATACTTGCCAAATACGACATGTAAATCGGGAAATATTAAATTTCCTGATTTACATGTCGTAAATCGACAATCATTTGGTCTATAGATATAGCATGTTTTAACAGAATTGTCACAAAACTTCAAATATGAAGTTTTGTGACAATTCTGTTTTAATTTATTAGTTAAACCAGTTTTATTTAATTACTTATTTTTAACGTATTTTATGTTATTAAAGTTATAAATTGTGTAAAGCAGTTATAGATTAACACAACTTGTGTCAATATAAAACAATCGTTTTAGATTAACAATGTCAAAACAAATTTGCAGTATTATTTTATTGTTTTACAATAACAATTTAATACTCTTTAAAAATAAGATATGTTTTATCAGCAGCATGAACGTATTAAATAGTTTTCTATAACTAATTAAATATTTGCAATTTTTAGCAATATTTGCATTTTTACTTTTATTTTTTTAAGTATTATGTTAAGTGAAAACAATTATTAAAAGTAATATCATAATAGTATTAAATATGTTACTTGCTCATTACACTTTAACTACAACTTAAAATACTATTTTATACTAATATAACCCCCACCCACCTTATCGCAAAGCGGTGCCTGGCATAAGCGGTTTGGAGAGGTTCTAAAAATTTTATTTTTCTTGATCAGATTTTTTTTTGCGTTAATTCGAACCCTGATATAATAATGTGCAAGACCATCGAAGCGGGCAAATCGCAGTTTTTTAACCATCAAAGAAAAGATTATTTTTGAATACAAAATTGATAATATGTAGATATTGATTGCATTTTGATTAAAATAATATAGATCAAAATTATCATTTTAAAGAGTTTTTTCATATGAAATATTATTTAAAAAAAAAAAAAGGCCATGGGCAACCCAAAATTTGAGCCAGTGAACAACATTAGCTAATGATGAGCTTACTTTCAGTCACCCTTTCCTAGTGACCAACTAAAAATAGGTCTAAACAACACTGAATAAGCAATTTAATTCATGTCTGATTGGAGTTAAACTTATGCAGCAAGTGAGTTGAGAACGCTGAGAATTCATCAGAGGATTAATCCAAGTCATAAGAGTAGATCTTGTAAAAAATAGGAAGACTTGTGGTTGCCTAAAGCAAGCAATAAGAATGAATCAAGAGATAGTCTGAGAGCCATATTTTAAACAATCCAAACTTGCAGAAGTGCCAGTTAACTAATTAGTGAAAAAATGTCAGTTAACTAAGCACAAACCATGTTAAATAAAGTTGATGTATGTAGAAAAAAATTTGAGGGCAGTACTTCCACAAGTGTAAGGTGTAGGGTGGATTTGAACCTCAAACGTCTTGATTGTGAGCTAAAAGTTCTATTCCCACATTTATAGTTATTATAACCATAAGATAAATAAACATAAGAATAACCATAAGTACCCATAAGATATAAAAAAATAAATAATAAACCACTACTAGTATCGCATTTTTGACTTAACAGTAATTTAAAATCTAATACTTATAAATTATAAATTCAACTAAAATGTAAAATCATATTTTTACTTTATTTATAAATTGTTTAACTCACTTTAATGACACCAAGTTGATATGGTTTAACAATATGCATGCATACTTTCATAATATGAACCACTTGCAACATGATATCGTTATTCTCACTTTCAATAAAGTCGTTAAGTAAATTTTCATACCCAATGCAGTCATACAATGATAGGTCCACTCTAGTCTAAAATTTAAAAATAAATATTATTTTAAGTATATAAATTAATATATACTATAGTTATTATAACCATAAGGTAAATAAAAATAAGAATAAGTAACCATAAGATAAATAAAAATAAGAATAAGTAACCATAAGATAAATAAAAATAGGAATAAGTAACCATAAGATAAATAAAAATAGGAATAAGTAACCATAAAATAAATAAGGATAATAAAAAGGATACATAGGTAGAAAAATCAGACATAAAAAAATGTCTTATTTTTTTACATTAAATATATTATTTGCCATAAATAATATATTTAATGTATCTAAAAAAATATTTATTAAATATCTTTAAAATGATTTTGTTTTTCTTTTCTTGGTTTTATTCATAGTATATATATTTCAATTTTAGAATATATTTATGTATAGAATATTTTTATATTTTAAAAATGGTAAATTATAATTATTCAACTTTTTATTTGTTTCATTCTGAGCAATCATCTTAAGTTTTTCCATATTGAGTCATTGAAAACATACAGGTTTGCACAAGTGGGGAAGGAGGTTCCTAAATCAGTGGTTTTACTGCATACGTACTTTATGGATGTCCCCAAAATTTAAACGATTATTTATATATTTTGCCTGCTTTTATATTTATTCACATTTTACAAATACAAAACTTTTGTAAATTTTGTGTTTGTAAATTTGAAAAAAAATTAATTTTTGTATTTATAAATATTGTTTTTATTGAAATTAAACTTTATAAATTTTTTATAAATTTTATTTATATAAATTATATATATTTATATAAAGAGTATAAAAAATATATAAATATTATATACAATATATGAAATATGTATAAATATCGTTTTAGTAAATTAAACTTTTGCATTTGTAACTAAAATTAAAAAATACTATGAAAATTTATGTATATTCGATTATCTTCTTTTATGTTTTACGCAAATATAACATAAATGATACATTTCATTGCAAGTTTTATTTTTGATTTTTTTGTTGTTGTTATTTTTGGAGTACTTTACTAGCAAATTTAGTTTACCAAAAATACTTTTAATTCCTTAAATATAAAAACGTTATCAACTTATTTTAAAGTATATTATTTATTAACATGCAAAAATTTTTGTATCTTAAGATAACCAGTAAAAATATGAAGAGTTTTTGAATAATAAGAATAAATAAAAAAATAACTGACGTCAATTAAATAATAAAGTTTTTTTTACTTTTGAATTAATGATTTTGCTTGTTAATCAGAACGCTTCTCATTAACAAGCAAGATAATTCATTCAAAAAAAAAAAAATAATAAAATCAACCTAATTCATTTCTTCGTCATGCGTACTAACTACATTTTCAATGTATCACCTGTTAACACCTTAAATCTGAGCGTGATATAGGATTTTTATTTTTTTTACTTTGATCTTTTAAACCTTTGGAAAATTTAAACTAATTGAGAACTTTGCAATATAATGCTATCAAGCTGGCTAACACCATGCGAATGAACCAGATGTATTTGCTTCAAAAAGAAAACAAGTGTGACAATATAAAAAATGTGGTGGGTAAAATATTAAGGCCCTAGTAGATGGAACTCTACTGCTACTACATATAATAACACTCAAATATTTCATGAAAGAGGAGGTCAGTAAATAAATATAACTATTTTTACTTACCCTCAATAGTATTTCTTTAACAAAGCTTGTATCAATTGAATATTGGTACATTTTTTGAATAGTTGGGTGTAAATCAGCATAGTTCATGATCTTATCTTTTGCAACTTTTAGGCATACAACCATAAAATTAATTATAGATCCAAGAGAACCTTGTTGAAATGCAAGCTCTAACATTAATAAAAGCAAGTTTTTCCTCACTTCCAAACTTAAATGTTGAGTTGAATTACTGAAACAATATTTCAAATTGACAAAATTCAAAATTATATAAAAATTTTAAATTACATTATAACAACTATAATAATTATAAAAAACAGATAAAAAACTACTTATAAATATAGTGATAATACATCAGATGCAACATATAACAATCCATAAGATTTAATGACTTATTAAATCTTATGGAACCTATTGTTTTTGAGCCCGGAGTCCTGGAATTCTCGCCGCCATTATACCTTAAGAATCTGGGTTAAAAAATTGATTGTTCTTCTAACCTAAAAGGCTTAATTTTTCTTCTAAAAGTAGTCCATGAGCTTCTTTACATATTTAGAGCTCCTGGATACCAAAAACCAAAAAAAAAAAAAAATATTTTAATGATTTTCAAATCCAGAAACTTTTTGGGACTACGCATACCTGCAAAAACTAAAAAAAAGGTAGATTTGTAAATTATTATATGCATTGATTAGATTGATCACAATGATGTAAACTGCATTAAATCGCTTAAGGTAAGTTGAACTACAATAAAACTGTAGATTTTATTGATTTTATGTACTTTTCTATTTCTTTTGTAAATCAGTGGATTTTTTAGATATTTCTGAAAATAAAGGATTTTTTTATTGTAAAAATGATAGATATTGTTTTTCTTTCTTTTAATTTAAGACAAGAAAGTTATTTATCTCTAATATTATAAACTTCAATAACTTTATAATATTAGAGACAAATAACTTTCTTGTCTTAAATTATATAAACCAAGGCTCGCCAATTGCAATATCTGGAAATGCTTCTGGTCTTTAAATTTTTCTTCTTTTAAAAATTGTAAACTCTGTTTTTATCATTAAACTCAATAGATATTATTCAACAAAAATTATTTATAATGATTTTGAAATTATTATATAAAATATTGTAACAAAACCATATTAATACTATTATTTTTATCATTAAAAATTATGAACTAAACTTTAATATTTAATTCATTTGAAAACACAGGTCAACCAAAAAAAAAAATTTTTCTGTTCCCGAGCAAACAATTAGTTTTTTTTATTTAATTTCTCATTTTGATTTCAAATGTGCAATTCATTTTTCACAATTACGTCAAGTTTTAAAGATATTTGGGTTTAAATCTTTAGTATTTGGGGTAAAATCCCTAATATTGTCGAAAAAAAGTTATTCAAAAGTATGTCAACCTGGGTCTCAAAAGAAGCGTATTTTTGTAGAGATTTTAAAAATGTTATTTGTTTGTAATAAAAATTTTTATTTTTTGTATTATTGCTGAGAAACATTTTGTTAAAACTTTGTAAAAGTCTTCAGCACTTTTTCACATAATTTTTTGTTAATAAGTTTTAAGGAAAAATATTTATGTTTTCTAAAATTTCTATAAGGGTTGACATACTTTTGAATAACTTTTTTTTCAACAATATTAGGGATTTTACTCCAAATACTAAAGATTTGAACCCAAATATCTTCACAACTTGACATGAAAGTGAAAAATGAATTGTAAATTTGAAATCAAAATGAGAAATGCTATAAAAAAAACTAATTGTTTGCTTAGGAACAGAAAAAAATTTTTTTGGGGTTGACCTGTGTAAATCATTAGATAAAACTAGAAATATAATGCAAACAGTATGATGTATTATTAAAAAACAACAGCAAGTCATAACAGTCTAAAAGAATTTAGCAATGATTAAATATTTTAAATAAAAGAAATCGCATAATAAGATATAAAATACTTTTATATTTTATTTAAATTTATTATCTTCTTATAAACTCAAATATTATAAAACTGATCAATAAAATGCTCTGTAATGCATATATGCATATAAAATTAAAGACAGAGTTTAAATATATATATATATATATATATATATATATATATATATATATATATATATATATATATATATATATATATATATATATATAAATATATAAAAACTAATTTAAACTACTTTTAGTTATTTTAAAACAAAACAAAAAACTTGAATAATGTAAAATAAAATATATCTTTTAATTGATAATTGATAATAAAAATAATATTAATTATTTTTATTATAATATTAATTTTTAATTGATAATAAAAATAATAAAATAATATTAATTTTTAATTGATAATAAAAATAATAAAATAATATTAATTTTTAATTGATAATAAAAATAATATTAATTATTTTTATTATCAATTAATTAAAAACTTAAAACATTTAAATTTTCAAATAAACATTTCCTCAAAGTTTCGCCCTAAAAAAAAACAATTCTAATGTTTCATATAATGCATAAATAGCTTTAAAATAATTATGGTTGATTTTTAAATTATTGAGCATTTTTCCAGACCATTAGTAATTTTCATTTATTTTAACTTTTTTTTTAATTTACAATGCTTAAATTACCTGGTGTTTAAACAAATAATAATTTGAAAATAAGTAAGTTCTGGCTGGTATTATTTTTACTGTAGTAAACTTATTGTTTTATTTTTTCATTAATTTGAGCAATATGATAAATCGACCGTTTCATTAAGTGTTAACATTTTTTAAGCTGAATAATAATTAACTGAGAATTTGAGGACAAGAAATATTTACAGACAGCAATTTGCGATCACTTAATAGAGCCATATAAAAATAAGCAATAACTATCTCCATTAACTTTTTTATCATAAATTATGCAAATAATAATTATCTCCCGTAACTTTCTTATCCTAAATTATATAAACAATAGTTATCTCTAGTCATTTTCTTATCCTAAATTATATAAAAAATAATTTTCTTCAACTTTCTTATCTTAAATTATAAAAAACAATATTAATTTTCAATAACTTTCTTATATTAAATAGTAGTAAAAATGTAAACAGAGTTTCATATAATAAAATAAATAAAAATAAAGTTTCAAAACTTAAAAAACATTTGCTAAAAATATCTCAAAAAAGGAAGCGGTAGACAAAAAAAAAAAAAGCTAAATAGATTAGGCCCAATCACATGCTTATACTATTTTTAATTTGTTGAATCAAAACTGAATCTGATAATTAGCTTAAATTGTGTTAGGTTAGGTATACGATTATCATTATTACTCTGGTAATCCAGTCCAACCTGTTCTAAGCCTTACTGCCTTGTAGTAAGACTTAGAACAGAAGTGAAGAAGAAGTGGCTTTCCTGTCATCAATACTATTTAATATCTGTCATGTCTAATTTATATAGTTGAAGGTGTCTTAGTTACTGTGGTAGCTCACCTGTAATTTACTATATATGTATGTTTTTGTTCTGTCTAAACCTTAGGTGTGGTGTTCACTCCCCTATAAGTTGCTAAATATTTGTTTGTGTTTTGTCTGAATCTGTAGAGTGGTGTTCATCCACCAGTAAGTTCCTATATGTATGTTTGTGTTCTGTCTGAAAATCTGATAGGGTGTCTGCTCACCCTGATAGGGTGTCTGCTCACCCTGATAGGGTGTCTGCTCACATAAGTTAATAGATGTATGTTTGTGTCCTACTTAAGTCTTTGATGTAGTGTGACCTCAGTTACTAACTAGTGACTCCAACTATAAAACTTACACTCACCTAAATTTCAAATATTCTGTTAATGGTTTAATGCTTTTCTCAATTCGTTTCCAAAGCAGTCTATTTAATGTTTAAAGTACTGTTTACAAGAGGTAACTTTTTTTAACTACTTCAAGTCAGGTCAGGTCACATTCAGTATCATCACGATCAACCTGCTACTGGTATCATGTAACCCAGTACTACATACCCCATGCCCTGCTGCTTGTAGTGTTTGTTTTTTTAGGCCAAGGCTAGGAGAAAAAAAACTCCTTCTTCAGATCTCAGTATTGGTGGACAATTCCTTTGCCTTAGGGCTCTTGATTGAGTAAAAGCTTGAGATGGTGTCTCAATAAAAATACTCATCTTGGACAGATTTTAACTGCATCAAGTTAAAATCTCCTGCCTTTGGGCTCTTGGTTGAGTAAAAGCTTGAGATGGTGTCTCAATAAAAATACTCATCTTGGACAGATTTTAACTGCATCAAGTTAAAATCTCCTGCCTTTGGGCTCTTGGTTGAGTAAAGGGTAGAGATGGTATCTCAATAAAAATGCTCATTTAGGGGTAAGCAGAATAATTGTGTTGACAAGCCTCGCATACCTTCTTCTTCTATCATGCTGGCATATATGTAAACCTGTGTTTCATTGTTTCTGGCTAGGATGATAAATGCTGGATGTTCTTGACTCTACTCATAGATTTTTTCTTGTGACTCCTTGATAATGGCTATGCAACTCTTCCTGCTATCTATAGGTACAGCTCTAAAACTTGCTTTAATGGTTCTGAGGCCAGCTGGTAGTCAGGTTTCCTGAGACTGAGACAACTGTTTAGCTCATTGCTAGGGATATTGTGCTTTATCTATGAATGAGTCAAGTTCTCTTTAAACTTAAACCATGCTTAAAGCAGCCTAAAAAAATAAACATAAAAAACCATCACTACCACTTAACTGTTTCCATATATCTTTTACAGATATTCATGGTCTTTGAAGTAACTTTTCATCAGTTAAATCTTACCTTGTCCAAAATTTACCAGACTTGCTTGCTCTTTGTGAGACTAATATAAATTTGGCTGTTCCTTCTTCAGGTCTCAGTATTGGTGGATACAATTTTTTGATTGGCAAAGACTCCAATCGTCTCATGCTTGGTTTGCACATATACTTCTGCATCAATTCACCTATATTTGAGAAATCAGGTTTGAATTCTCTGACTATTCTTATATGTGCTTCTGCTTAGCACATCTTCACTCTATCACTTTTCTCTTTGTTCTTTAATGCTTTTCTTCTTAAAACTGCACTCTTTTAGATAAAATTTCTAATCAAATTGACAATATCATTATTATAACATTACTACTGCTATTATTGTAATTGTTATTGTTAATAATTTTGCTATTGTTATTGTTGCTGATTTTACTGCCCATCACACCGAATGGCTTGGCTTTAACACCACTGACTCTGCTAGCACTAAAGCTCATAACATTTCTCAATCTCTTAATAAGA